AAACGTGCTAACATACAAACATGAGTTCAGGAAACGTGCTAACATACAAACATGAGTTCAGGAAACGTGCTAACATACAAACATGAGTTCACCAAACGTGCTAACATAAAATCATGAGTTCAGGAAATGTGCTAACATACAGACATGAGTTCAGGAAACGTGCTAACGTACAAACATGAGTTCAGGAAACGTGCTAACATAAAAACGAGTTCACCAAACATGCTAACATAAAAACATGAGTTCAGGAAACGTGCTAACATACAACCATGAGTTCACCAAACGTGCTAACATACAAACATGAGTTCAGGAAACGTGCTAACAGAAAAACATGAGTTCAGGAAACGTGCTAACATACAAACAGGAGTTCAGGAAACGTGCTAACATACAAACATGAGTTCAGGAAACGTGCTAACATACAAACATGAGTTCACCAAACGTGCTAACATAAAATCATGAGTTCAGGAAATGTGCTAACATACAGACATGAGTTCAGGAAACGTGCTAACGTACAAACATGAGTTCAGGAAACGTGCTAACATAAAAACGAGTTCACCAAACGTGCTAACATAAAAACATACTATACCAATTTATTTCTAGAGCACTTAAAACAGCAACAAGGCCAACCAAAGTGCTGTACAAAAGAAAACAAACATGCACAGTGGACAGAAAAACATAAAATAGAAATACAGATCTAAATAGCAGCAGAAGCTAACTAAAATGGCCAACAGTGTAGAGTACAGACAGGACCAAACAAATCACACCGTGTTAAAGGCAAGAGAATAGAAGTGGGTCTTCAAGCAAGACTGAGAGTGTGGGAGCCTGCCGGACACTCAGTGGCAACTCTATCCACAGTCGTGGACCTGCAACAGAGAAAGCCCTGTCACCTCTGAGCTTACGACGGTTTCTGGGACTGAGTGAAGCATCTGGTCTGCTGACCTCAGAGAGCGCGGTGGGACATATGGCTGCAGAAGATCAGTGAGATAGGATGGGGCGGAACTGTTCAGTGATTTAAAAACATACATGAGAATTTTGAATTGGATCCGAAGGTGAATGGGTAGCCAGTGCAGGGAGGCCAAAACTGGCGTGATGTGCTCTCTATAGCCTGTACCAGTTAAAAATCGGGCTGCAGCATTTTGGACCAGTTGTAGACGAGCAATAGAGGACTGACTGATTCCAAACAGAAGTGAATTGCAGTAATCAAGCCTAGATGTTATGAAGGCGTGGATCACTGTCTCAAGGTTCTTTTTGGAGGGTATAGGTTTCAGCTTAGACAGCCGTCTCAGCTGAAAAAAACAGGATTTGACCATCATGTTTACGTGACTGTTGAGTTTTAAGGACGGGTTCATTATTACCCCCAGATTAGTGACCTTTTGTTTCTCTAGCGGGGCTAGAGAGAAAAGGTCAATGTCATGGTTCATGAGTGAGCCACTGGGATGGAACAGCATGACTTCAGACTTCTTCTCATTGAAGCTTAAGAAGTTTAAAGCCATCCAGTCCCGGATGTCAGCCAGGCAGTCAAGAAGAGGCTGAATAGAGCGTGTGCCTCTGTGCCTCAGGGGGAAGTAAATTTGGCAATCATCGGCGTAGAAATGAAAGAGTATGTTGTGTTTGCGGAATATAGCACCTAGTGGCAGCAGGTATAAAGAAAAGCGAAGGGGACCGAGGATGGACCCCTGCGGAACCCCCCACTGGAGCGCTGTCGATGCCAAACTAAAATCTTTGATATTGACACAGAACGTTCTGTCAGAGAGGTAGGACCCAAACCATTTAAGGGCTGACCCTGTGATGCCCACCCACTGCTCCAGTCTAGAAATGAGGATCTTATGGTCGATGGTGTCAAAAGCAGATGTCAGGTCCAATAGAACAAGCAGCACAGAATCACCTGCGTCTGTGGATATGAAAATGTCGTTAAAAACCTTCAGTAGAGCAGTTTCAGTGCTATGGAGAGATTTGAAGCCAGATTGGAATAACTCTAGGATAGCGTGATCCCCCCAAAACTGTTTCAACTGAGACTCCACAATTTTTTCCAGTAGTTTAGAGGTGAATGGGAGTCTGGAGACAGGCCGGAAGTTGGACATGACTAAGGGGTCAAGGTTAGGTTTTTTCAGGAGGGGCTGGACAGCAGCATGTTTAAAAGTTCTTGGCATCACACCTGAGGATAAACTGCTATTCAGAATAGCGAGAATAAAAGGACCCAGGGTAGGAAAAACTTCCTTTAGTAGTCGAGGGGGGACCACATCAAAGGGGGAACCAGATGGCTTCATGCTGCACATTACCTGCTCCAGAGAGGACAGAGAGATGGGCTCAAAGTGGTCAAACACAGCCACACACTGAGATGGGATGGACAGATCATGAGCTGGTGGAGAAATGAGTGCCCGGGTGTTTGCCACTTTTTCTAAAAAGAAATGGAGGAAGTTTTCACACAGCTCAGTTGAGGCTTCCAGAGGTGAAGGCTCACTGAGGTGTAGAACTGAGTTCAGGGTGGAGAAAAGAACTCGGGGGTTGTGGGAGTTGGAGATAATTAAATCAGAGAAGAATTTACATTTGGCAGCTTTAACGGTTTTCTGATAGTGACGCCAACTCTCCCTTAACATTTGAAAAGAAACCTGCAGCCTGTCCTTCCTCCACCTTCGTTCAGCTCTGCGACACTGCCGCCTAACGGCTCGAGTGACGTCATTCAGCCAAGGCTCTGATTTAAGTTTCGTTTTTCTGGTTTTAAGGGGAGCAACACAGTCCAGAACATTTAAACAGGCAGAGTTGAACTGAGAGGTTAGCTCCTCAGTGGTAAGAGACACCGAGGGCTGTTCGATCCTCTCAGAGTTAAAACCTTCATTAAAACGAGCAGCAGTGAAATGGTTAATGGAACGCGTACGTGCAGGAACGCACGTCTTAGCTGTAGGACAAGGGGGGGTGAGGTCAAACAATACAGGCATGTGATCTGAAAAAACATTGTCACCGATTTTCAAATTAGAAACAGAGACATCGCGTGTTAAAACGAGGTCCAGCGTGTGACCGTGTTCTTGGGTGGGACCGTTTACCTGCTGAATTAAATTAAGAGTCCGATAAATCTAGAAAGTCCTTCACTAAGGGCTTCTCCTGACAACACACATGCAAATTAAAGTCACCAATAAACAAAAAGTGAGTGTATCTCTGTGTGATATCAGCCAAAAAGTCAGAGAATTCATTTATGAAGTCCTTGGAACGAGGGGGCGGTAGACGAGCGCGCACAGAACCGGAGGAGAGTGTCCGAGTTCAAAGACGCTTAGCTCAAAGCTGGCGCGGGACACCGGGATGGACAACTGTTTACAGGCCAGGTTTGCTTTAAAAACTGTTAATAATCCCCCCCCGCACCGACCTGATGGCCGCGGGGCATTGAAACACAGACAGTCCGGGGGTAGTAGTTTCACCAAGGCGCTGGACTCACCTTCAGAAATCCAAGATTCCGTGACGAACAGAAAATCCAACTCCTGATCTTTAAAAAAGTCATTGAGGATAAACGTCTTGTTGGAAACAGACCTTGCGTTGATTAAACACATCCTGATAGGGTCCAACGCAGGCACAGCCGTGGAGGGAGAAGCGCGCGCCAGCGGGCGCAGGTTATGAAGAACAGCTCCTCCTGGTCCTCCTGTACAAAAACTCCGCAGGCAATTCAGCAAATGTACGGAGCTCCAAAAGTGCCCGACGATCATACTGAAAATATGACTCGGCACACTGCACCAACCATTGTCAAAATAACAAAAATACAATACAAGCAGAGAGCGAGAGACGGGCAGCCCTACACACCGGCTCCAACTTGGAGAAAATTCATGAGAAAAAACATGAGTTCAGGAAACGTGCTAACATAAAAACATGAGTTCAGGAAACGTGCTAACATAAAAACATGAGTTCAGGAAACGTGCTAACATAAAAATATGAGTTCAGGAAGCGTGCTAACATAAAAACATGAGTTCACCAAACGTGCTAACATAAAATCATGAGTTCAGGAAACGTGCTAACATACAAACATGAGTTCAGGAAACGTGGTAACATAAAAACATGAGTTCACCAAACGTGCTAACATAAAAACATGAGTTCA